CCATAGTCGTCTTTTATCCCGAGAAATGTTTAACAGTTGTTTTAAGTTGCTCCATGTTTTATGTGCTGGGTGGGTTTTAATTAGTAACTTTTATGAAGTTTTATGTTTTTATTATGCTTTATTTTATAAACCAAGGAAGAGAAAGATGATGATGCAGTTGGACATTTTAGCTCAGTCAAAGATCCCTACACATTTAGCACAAAGCTTTGTCTGGGGATCTGTAAGGCAACCATTAGTTAGAGTATTCCCACTGTAATAATGTGCCAGGAACACTCTAAGAGACAGCTGCCTTACAGATCCACAGGGAGCTTTGAGTGAAATAAACCCTCTTTTCCCACAGCACCATTGTGTGTTTTTTCTCTTTCTCAATTCTGCATTGGCACAGCTGTCTTTTCTGCATTATTTTATAAGCCACCATGGGCTGGTTTCCCTAGAGAGGTGGCACAGACATTTTCCAGATAAATAGCATCTTCTCTACCAAACTCTCTTCAAGTACAACTCTGCATACAGCACATTAAAGGGTAAAAGGTTAAGGTTTCCCTTGCTCAAAAGCTAGTCGAAACCAACTCTAGCACTGTCCAAAGATGTTTCCGTGGTCATGTGGCTGACATGACTAAACATCGAGGTGTACAGAACACTGTTACCTTACCACCACTGTTACCTTCCCACCAAAGCAATACCTATTTATCTACCTGCAATTTCTTGCTTTCGAACTGCTATAGGCTGGCAGGAGCTGAAGCCAGAGACGGGAGCTCACTCTCATCATGCGGCACTAGGGTCTCGAACTGCCGAACTACAGACCTTCCAAGTCTGCAGCTCAGCATCTTAACCTCTGAGCCACCACAGCCCACACAGCACATTACAGTAGTCTAACTCAGGAAGTCTCCAGGGCATGGATGAAAATAGTTTAGTATCTATTTTCCAGCGATGCACACAATTAGTGGATCAGGTAGAACTGTTAAAAGTGCATTGGGTCACAACCATGCTTGGGAATCCAGGAGTAATACCACATCCAGAAGTACCCCCAAATCATGGCCTTGATCCTATTTGGGCAAATTAATTGAGACGGCAGTGGCAGTACAACTGCAGGGCTTTCTGGATGACACTTCCATATTAGATCCCTTCCAGTCTGGCTTTCACCTGGGACACGGGACGGAGACGGCGTAGGTCGCTCTTACTGACGATCTCCAAAGACACCTGGATCGGGGCAGTTCAGCAGCACTGTTGTTGTTGGACCTGTCAGCTGCGTTTGACATGGTTGACCATCAGTTGCTGACCCACCGCCTCGCCGACGTGGGGATACAGGGGCTCACCTTACAATGGCTTGTCTCCTTTCTCCAGGGTGGCAAAGGGTGGCACTAGGGGAATAGCAGTCCAAGAGACACCCGCTTGATTGCGGGGTGCCCCAGGGGGCGGTGCTTTCCCCGATGTTGTTTAAAATCTACATGCGCCCCCTTGCCCAGGTTGCTTGGAGGTATGGGCTGGGCTGTCATCAGTATGCTGATGACACTCTGCTCTATCTGATGTTGGGTGGCTGGTTGGACTCCAGACCAGAAGATCTGGACCAGGCGCTGCAGGCCGTGGCTGGTTGGCTCACGCTGAGTCGGCTGAAGCTAAATCCGGCAAAGACGGAGGTCCTGTGCTTGAGTTGTGGCGGTATGGGGCTGGGGATCCCGCTCCCAGCCTTTGATGGGGCACCGCTGGTGCCAGCGTCGAAGGTGAGGAGTCTGGGAGTGCTCCTGGATCCCTCCTTGACAATGGAGGCCCAGGTAGCAGCCACTGCAAAGTCGACCTTTTATCATCTTCAGCTGATTCGGCAGTTGGTCCCTTCATCGACCGTGGTGACCTGGCTACAGTGATCCATGCAACAGTTACTTCAAGATTAGACTACTGTAACACTCTCTACATGGAGCTGCCCTTGTCGCAAATCCGGAACTGCAGCTAGTGCAGAATGCTGCAGCCAGGCTGTTGATGGGCCTTCCCACATTGGGAGCACATCCAGCCTGTGCTCAGGTCACTGCACTGACTGTCAATAGCATACCGAATATGCTTCAAGGTGCTGTTACTTATCTTTAAAGCCCTATATGGCCAGGAGCCAGTATACCTGAGGCCTTTCCCCATATATACCCCAGAGAGCACTACAACATTGGTTAATTATCCCGGGCCCCAAAGATGCCAGGCTCACAGCCACCAGGGCCAGGGCCTTTTCGGTGGTGGCTCCTTACTGGTGGAATGAGCTCCCGGAAGAGATCAGGGCCCTGTGGGACCTTTTGCAGTTCCGCAGGGCCTGCAAGACAGAGCTCTTCCACCAGGCTTTCAATCAGGAGCTGCCACCATGACCACCAATTATACTACTAGAACATCTGTAGTACAGGACTGGCCCTAACACGGAGTTAGGCCTATATCTACTTGGGAGACTGTAAGACTGCTGGATCGAGAACTCGGATGATATATCTTAGAGTACACCATCTAATTTAATACTGCAAGCACTTTAAATGTTTCAATATTATGAATGTTTTAAGCTGTTTTAAAATGTTTTAAAAGTTTTATGCTGATTAGGTACATCGTACCGACTTCTGTAAACTGCCCTGAGCCGGTTCGCTGGGAGGGCAGGGTATAAATACGAATAATAAATAAATAAATAAAGGACAGGCATTCCCCTAATTAGCCAGTCCAAATGAACCACCTTTAACAGTCTTAATCTGAATTGATTTTAAATTAATTCACCATTATCCAGTCTACCACTGCGCCCAGATAATCCTTTACAAAAAAACTACCTTACCCGCATTTACTGAAAAGGATAAATAGAGCTGGTTCACTCCATAACCTCTCTCTGTAGTTTCATGGACAGAGCATGGGGAGAAATACTCACCTTTGAGAACTTGCCATCTTCCAGTTTCTAGGTTCTGGAAACTGATCCCCAGAAAGGAGCAGAATGACTGCTATGCAGTGCCACCAGTAATCCATAGGGATACAATAGGTGACAGTACTGAAAACCACCAGGAAGTCCAAGAGAATCAACAAAATCATAATCCTCCTGTCTCTTTCTCAGGGTAGGTAATAAACCAGGAGAACAAAAATGTCTCTGTTGTAAAATCAGATATGAAACGAAACTGAAATAGATCTAGATAAACAGCTTAATCCAATATTATACGGAATTAGCTACCATTCTCTTGAGCAACTTGCCCAAAAATTGCAAATGAGAGATCAGCTAGTAATTGCCAAAGTCAGCAACTGCTTGAAATGACTAGACCACCACCTCCCTTGAGGCATCTGGCCCAAGGCCTGGCCCAAAGGAGGCATTAGCTATCATGCTGACGAGGGCTGTAGCCAGGATTTTTCATTTTGTGGGGCAATTTTTTTTCTTGTGGGGCACCCATTATGCTTAAACTTAAAATAATAAATAACTGGAGATTTTGGGAGTGGAGCCTGAGGAGAATGGGGTTTTTTTTGGGGGGGGGACTTCAATGGGATATAATGCCATAGAGTCCACCTAGAGATCAGGCGTAATGCCAGGGGATCACCAGCCACCACCTGGAGATCGGCAACCCCGGGAGAGAGAGATTGGCTTCCTCCATCATCACCAGGGGTCGTTTCGTAGAAAAAGAGCTAGGGGAATTCATTAGCATAACTCATTAGCATATGCCACACCCCTGACATCACCGGAAGTGTGTCATAAGGCCACACACCCCGCCCCCAACGGTCCCGGCCGCCGGCCTTGCAGCTCCACTGCCGAGCCCCATGAG